AGAATATTATGCCAAGCATTTCTCTACGACTAGAGTGTAGGTAGATTTATAAGTTTTAAACGACTAGTGTATGGAGGTAGACTTACCCTAGATTCCAAACAACATTGAGGAGAGAGTTAAGAAGGCATCAGTTGCCTTATACTGCTGCAAAGGGGCTATAGGGAAAAGGTGGGGACTCTCATCTAAGGTGGTGTTCTGGCTCTACGAAACCGTAGTTAAGCCAATAATGTTCTATGGTGTGTTCGTCTGGTAGAGAGCGCTCGAAAGGTCCACACTGGCTAAAAAGCTTGAGCGGGTCCAAAGAGCGGCGCTCATCGGAATCCCCGGTGCACTGCGGACCACACCTACAATAGCTCTTAATGCTATTGTAAACATAGCACCTGTGGACATTACCGGTAGGTGCATTGCTGCGAAGTGTGCTCTAAGGCTCAGGGAAGCTGGGCTTATGAGGAGGTCCGAACAAGGACACTCCGTAATTCTTTTCTCCTTTAGCTGCATTCCGGAAAATATAGATCACTGAGGTCACTCGAGGCGGCTCCTTCTCCGCTCATATTCCAACGAGGGACATGTGGATGGGAAGAAGCCGCTGGAGAAGAGACGCGGTTAGCTTTTTCACGAATGGATCGGGGCTAGGAGGAAAGGTTGGAGGAGGGGTTTTCTGCAAGGAGCTCTCGGTCAGTCTTAGCTTCAGGCTACCGGACCACTGTAGTGTTTTTCAGGTGGAAGTGGCTACTATCAAGGTGGCGGTAGAAGTACTGCTGCATAGTGCAGCCTCGTTTGTAGAAGTGAGCATCCACTCCGATAGTAGGGCGGCAATACTAGTGCAATCAATGCTAGTCAAGGAGTGTCTGTCCTCACTAGAGATAGCGGCTGGCTATTTCAACATCCGACTCGTTTGGGTGCCTGGTCACAGCGGAATCGCTGGAAACTGCAGAGCCGATGAGCTAGCCAGGGGGCACCCTTGCCCCGCTCACATCGGAGTGGGATCGGGTTGGATCTCCGTTAGCGTCTTGCGCTCTAACGTTGGATCAATTGACCTCGCGTGCACTCAGCAGACGCTGGTCGACGACCAACTCCTGTGCGACTGCGAGATCCTACTGGCCAAGAGTGGAGCGCAAGAGTTCGGGGGAACTTCTCGCCCTGAGCAAAGTGCATCTCGCCGCTATGGTAGGAGTTCTCACTGGACACTGTCCAATGGGCACTCATGCGGTACGGCTTAGAGTACTACCCGATGCTAGTTGCCAAAGTTGCATGGAGGAGAGCGAGGTGGAATCATCCCGGCACTTTCTCCTCCAATGTCCGGCTTTCGCTAGGCTGAGATAGAAATATCTCGGCAATCACACTTTTGGCGGACCTGAATACTTAGCCGAAATGGATATTGGCCGTCTTAACAAGTTTGTTGTAAGCACAAAGCGTCTCGTCGACTTGTAAATGTCTTTTGATCCAGATTATAGGAGTTTTTGTAGGTATCACAACGGACCAGCGTCTTAAGCTGTCCAAGTGGGATCCTTCTTGGGAAAAAATGGTTTAGTAATATACGGATCTCTAAATTCTTTGGACCAACGTTTAACACAATTCAGGATAGCTTTTGCTTTCAAGACATGGTCAATATAATGACTAAAATTAAGCTTACGGTCCATATTAACTCTCAAATCAACATAGTTAAAAAACTTGCTCTGAACTATGGTGAGGGGTAATCAGATATACGGTAAAAGCACATAGTCTTACATTTATGGCAAATCATTTCTATCACACCATGCAACTAAATTATTTAGGTCTGTTTGCAACAGAAACCTTTCATCAGTTGAAGTGTATGATTTAAAAAGCTTTACGTCGTCGGCGTATAATAAAATTTTTGAAAACTCTATTACAGAAGAGATATCGTTAATAAACAACAAAAACAGAATCGGGCCAAGATGACTACCTTTCGGAACACCAGAAGAGACATTTATTTTATCTGAAAGAGTATCCTCAAATATCACTCATTGTGTTCTTTAACAAAGATAAGAAGCTACCAATTGAAGAAATCTTGGCTGAAAGCCCAGAAGATCAAGTTTATGTATGAGAATCGAGGGATTTACTTTATCGAAAGCTTTGCTGAAGTGTGTATATAACATCCGTATGCTTATGTTCCCTAATTAAAGATGGTTTTAACTTATTTAAGTTAAGTAGGACGTCTTCTTCAGAAATAATTGAAACGTTTATTAACGTATTCGGACACAGCACGTGTTGATAGGAAAAAGTTTAAGGAAAATTATTACAGTAGTGTTACTTAAAAAATTCCACAAACATATTGGATATAATGTGATTGTCACTTTACATGATAGATTTGGACGGACGGAAATTTAGAAATCTGAACCGATTCTTTTTAAACATCTAAAGGCTCGAGTTATCGTAGAAAGTTATCTATTTCATTTTTTAAAATTAGCTTTTGCAAAGTTAAACCGAGTACAGAAGCTAGAAATTTGATGATTACTATCCCGTACATTGCCTATGATTTCGACACATATTTCCAAAGCATGATGATACGAGTCCTCTGGTAGAACAAGTATTACGCTGAATAACGGAACGCTTTGAAGAGTTATCAACATATACTAGATCTAAGTATTTACCAAATTTAATCGGAATCAAATTAATTTGGTTCAGAATCAAGTTTTTTCCAAAAACTCATTAAATATGAGTTTTTCACGAGGCATACCTAAACTGATTATTGTATCTGCATTATTTACCATCGAGATAGCACTATTTATTAAAGAAGCATGCTGCATATATACTGATAAGTCCGAATGGGGTGATATATAAGATAGGGTTAAATAAATAAAGCAACTATTAACGCAAACTTTAATACATTTAGAATCAAATGAGTCAAATACGGCAAATAGAATAACTCCTCCGATACTGCTTAATCGATCACATCTCAATTTTATGAAATTCGCTATTAAAAATCTCACTATCAAAAATGTGAGGTTTTAACCACGTTTCTGTAAATCCAGTTATATGAAATTTAAAATTGGAACTGTTTAAAAACAAATCGGTTAAATTTTGACCTCTAACAGTTTTATAATAAATGCTCAGAGAGTTTCTACCAATCAGTTTTTTTTTTTTATATCCGAGGTTGCTTTCGGTAATTTAGTAATTTGGCAAGTCTAGAAATAAATATAGATTTTTTAGGTGGAATAACCACAAAATTTTTAACGGATGCTGTTAAGTTATTAGGGGAGCCTCTGGAATTGTGAGACACTTATTACTATAAGATACGTTGGGATGTTTTCCGGCCAAGGACTGTCAACTCGACAAAATTCTGCCGCTACAAAAACAACAACAACCAACATACAAATGAACTATGAATACGATCTAAAATGAATGACAAAAATGACAGAAAAACTCGACTGGAGTTGCTGGACTCTTTTCGCTCGTGTCAACGCACAGAGCGACACTAATGGAGAATTTGCCGATAAAAAGCGACAAAATAATCCCCATGTGAACGCCATCTAACATAGTATAAGGAGAGAACGCAGATTTATATAAGTGTGACAAGCGTGTGAAATGTCCAAATCTAACAAATGACGATGGGTGGATTTTAAAACAGCTAGCTCGGAAGGAAAAATTTTAACAGAGGCGAGATTACCTATAGAGCTGAGCATTGAATAAAAATTTTGCTCAGAGACTTGCTTTGATTTCACAGCCGCATGTTAGTCTTTTGAGTCTTATATTTTTATACGTTTTTATGCAATCAAATGCATGCAAATCTGATATCATTCTAATTAAATTATGCAATTTTCAAAGTAGTATTTATAGTCAATGTTAAAACAATACATACTTTTTAAATATTTCTTATGTTTGATAACACTGGGAAACAATTGTTTTGTTTTATGAAGTTTTTTTTACCCGATTTTGTATGCCTTTGCAAAGCTGATTCCAAATCTGTAGTAAGTATTTCTTTCGCAGCTCTACTTTTCGAAATATGAACATATTATATATGTAGCCACAATACTACAATTTTAGAATTAAAAAATATATTGCTGTTAACATAAAAAAACTTTCTTAGAAAACATCAGTCTTGTTTTGAATGCTCCAGCAATAATCGGCCTTCATATTTGCTTTCCAACGACCCTGGACCACTATCGCTCTACCATAGTCCCAATATTCTGATGAAAGCGTACTCCTTGTTCTTCGCTTAAGTTGCCTAAATTTTCTAGGAAATGGTCTAAATGACTTAAGAGAAAGTGCATCTTGATGTTCATTTCACATCCTAGTCTTTGGAAGTGCACCATGAACTGCTCAATTTGTTGGAAATAGTTTGGAAATTCTTTATTTCCTAAGAATTTTTGCACGACTCAAATAAATTCAATCAATGAAGATATCTTCTTATCTGCCAAACAATCCGTAAAATGTTGGTCCTGTATTAGTTCTGTTATAGTTTTCTGTGCTCAATTTCGGAAATATTTTACTGATATATTCAAAAAATTCAGAGGGGTATTCATACTACCCGGTAATAAATTCGTTCTTAAAGGCCAAACCTTTTTAATCCAGTCTTCTGTCTTGGTTCGGCTATCCCATAAACACATGAAAAAGGAGTTTATGGTATATCCTCTTTTACCCAAAAGAAAATTTACCATTTTAAGATCGAGCATTTCAGCCAATTATGTTCTATGTATTATATTCCCAAAGTAGTCCAAATAGGCCTTTTTTTATAGAATCAGACGGCATTCTCTAATAGAGGTGGAGTACCATCGATAGGCGACGATAGTTATTCCAAAACCATCGATAGTAGTAGTAAATTTATGAAACTTGAAAACAACTGTTATGATATTTATACATTATCTTGGCTCTCTTTTTATCGCAAATTCTTTCATTGTAGATAACGGTACTAGGTATTTTGTAAAATAAAACAATTGTAAATTTTCCTTTTTCAGTTATTCTGTGGGTTTAGAGTACTGTAGTTTCAAAGGAACCGCCTTTCCATATATGTTTTACCAAAAATTAAATAAGATCCAAAATTTTTTAAATATATTCATTAAAATTAAAATATTTTATTTATATATTCTGATAACACCAGCTGTAACCAGCTAAACCCTGTGCTTAAATTAAAATAGTCTCCACACCCATGTTTCTTTGAAATTAAATCGTAACGCAAGGAATGAAATTTACCTTAATCTATAAAAGAGGATCCACCGTTTGAGCGACTTTGCTAGGTCTATAGAGGGCCATTTATTTATCACCGGAGACCTAAACTCGAAAGCCATAGAGTGGGGTATGCCAAACACCGACTCGAGAGGTAAGCGTATCCTAGAAGACATGGGTGCGAGGAAACCACACCAGACATTAGCCAACTTCAGAACAAGCAGGCAGGCTTAATAAAGAAATGGAGAGTACTAGAAGTATACACTGGCAGCCATCATCAGTACATTTCCCACGCGATTGACACCGGCATTTACGATCACAAAAAAAATACTGCCAGCCGAAAGTGGAACGTTTCGAAATAAATCTCCGCAATAGATGAGCAGAACCCATCTAGCAGCTCTCCCAAAACCCCAAGCAAAATTGTGGATCACACAGTCGTTAATATAACAAGAGCCTGTAACCAATCAATGGGCTATTTTCATTAACGTTGCATGGAATCTTTCAACTTACTCATTACTTTCACTGTGTGACGTCGTAATAAAAATTGTTAAATTGAGGAAACTTTTTATTGTCATAGAATGAAAAGCTCCTTCGTTATCTGAAATAATTATTTTAGTGGTATTAAATATCAAAAATATTTCGAGTGGCGCTTCTGTAATGTCTACCGTGGATGGTGAAGAAATAGGTTTAACAACCGATTTATCGATACATGTTAGAAAGTGCTGCTTATTAGTAAAAAAAAAATATCGATATGTAAGAAAAGAGATAGGAGTTTCACCGATTTCGAGGTTGGAACGGTATACGCTGATATTTATTCTCTAAACAAATTTTGCAATTCGAAATTATGGATTTTAACAATTTTTTTATATTCGGGAAAAAATAATGGGTATTATTTGTTTGAAATTTTCTTGTAAGCAGCGATGCGCTCGGTTATGCTCTGTATGAGCGTTTCAAGTTGACCAGTTTTATTGATTCAGTCAATCACGAATATTTCGGTATGTCTAAATTTTATACTACGAAAAACAGAAACTAGGCGGTTTTGTATTACCCGTAGGATTGTCCGATCACAGTGAATTGCATTAGTGGTACTTGGATTAATTACATTTTTTAGACATTGTATTAAATTTTCCGGCTTATCATAAAAAATTGTATGACGAACGCATTTTTGGAATACAATTTTTGTACTTTTGTTTAACGATGCATCATTTGTTAATAGTAGTTGGTTGTTAAATTGATTGACGGGGTACTTTGTTGTTTGTATGAAGTAGGTAAAAGACTTCGCTATGCGCTACCTTATTCTCCTTCCCTGACTTAAAATAAAATGTAGGCGCAAATTCCTCTATGAATGCCTCTTTATTTTTGAATTGGAATTTTTTTCTGAAATAGAGAATATCAGGTGCTGGTGATCTATGAAAATTTGAATATTTTTAATACCATAAAGATAATGCCGTAGGGTCTTCAGTGCCCAAACTATGGCAAGCAAATAGGGCTCATTTGTTGCGTAGTTTTGCTCAGTTTTGGAAAGCGTAAGCGAAATCATCGTAATAGGCCTATTATTTTGAGACTACAGCTCCTAACGAATTCAATGAAGCATCAGTAATCAACTCAAAAGGCCTATTAAATAAATGCTTTAATAGTGGATGGGACAGAATCTGCTTCTATTGTGGTCGAATTAATTTCAGTACAACAGAGATGCTGAAGTTTGGTTTCACCACTGTGATGTCGTAAATTTCCAGCTTCGATATTAATTTTCGCATTAATATCTTTAAGGAAATAGTAGCCGATTAAACCATCGAATTACGAATGTATATTCGTAAGGAAATAAAACGTCGTTTTGTGATTAAAGACATCGATCAAACAATTTTTTTTATAAGATTAATCCCATTTCTTGATTTTAATGTAAATGAGTTTCCCATTACCCCAATTTTGTTAAGAAATGGAAGATTTTTGATAAAAATTTTCGAAGTCCCTGTATCGATTAGTAGTTTCAGCTCCTGGCCACTTTGTTTTTGTTATGACGAATGGTTGTAGCGATTCTATTGTAGTTTAAATGATTAATTTCACTTTCTAAATTAACAATAGAGGCGCGTGTTTTACTTGAGTTGCCGCGGTGGCAACTGTCAATATGCGAATGAGGACTGTAATGGTCATCGCAAATATCGGATGCGTCAAAATCGGAACTTCTTATATTATATTTATAATATATAATTAACCTTTTGAACCTTTGAGTTTGGTTTTTGAAAGGAACCAGACTGACCACGAGAACGTTTAAATACTAGATGGTGAGGTTGTGTGTGTTGATGCTGTGTCAAAAAGACGTGAGGCTGAGATTGGTCGTTGTTTGGTTTATGAAATGAATATTGTTCTGATGCGCTGGGCTTTATCGAAGAATGGAAGAACCGAAATCGACGTCCATCACAGTTGGTCTAATATTCATACTTGGTGGGAGCTTCTTAAGATAGGGCTGGGAAAATGTGTACCGGGGTATTGCTGGTCTTACTAAGTTACCCTTGGCAAATGTTTGCGCAAAATCGTAACGCTAATTCGTCTTGAGCTTCTGGGTAGCACCTAATGCAGAAGACAAGTCCTTCGAAAAAACAAAAAAAAAAAGGAAAACAAAATATCGCAAAGAGGGCGACGACGTCCCAAAATAGAATTGCGGATTGCATTCTTCCTTGCACGCTTGTTAAGAGCCGTAATGACCTCGGCGTTCCCGCTGTGTGTCATTATTTGCTTGTTCATTATAAGTGTTTAATGCCTATCTACCATACCTACCGTAGTATTCTGAAATCGATAAATTCCTTTTCCTTAGAATACTTTATACGTTAGGGGTGGTTTCTACGAAAACAACCCAGCAGAAGCTGCTTGGAGAGGAGCTCGTTATGTTCCTTAACCGGAAGCATACGGGCCTCACTGTGTAGGTGTTCGATTGGGGATATCAAGAGGCATCCCGTGATAGTTCGGAGTTAGTGTTCTGACAGGTCTGGAGCTTCTTCGTCTGCGTAGCACTACATCCAGGCGACCATATTGGGGCTGCATAGTTTAGGACCGGCCGGCCGATTGCCTTGTATGTCGCCAACAACGTTTCTTTGTCTTTTCTCCAAGAGCTGCCGGCAACTGATTTAAGGATTTTGTTGCGGCTCTGTACTTTGGCAGTTATCGCGGTCGTGTGAGGAGTGCAGGAGCAAAGACTGTGTAATGTATCGCCTAAAATTTTAGGGTTGTTTACGGTCGGAATTTTGGTACCATCGACTGAAATGTTTAGATCCAGTCTGTACTCTTTCGTCCAGTTCGTAAATATGGTCGCTGTGGATTTAGTGGGGAAGAGTGTCAGACTCCTTGCAGAGAAGAAGCGAGAAGCTATTTACTTTTGAGCACATCCTATCGATTCCTTGCCCAACGTCAATATCGTGCAGTCATCAGCATACGAGGTCACGGAAATTCCCTCTGATGGTTGGGGGAGTTTCGAGATGTAGAAGTTGAACAGTAAAGGGGAGAGAACACCACCCTGCGGAACCCCCTATTTAATTTTCCTAAGTTTGGAGTTTTGACCTCGAAACAGTACGGATGAATGCCGACCGCTCAGGTAGTTCATAGTCCACCGCTTTAGCCCTGGAGGGAGCTTTGATTGTTCTAGGTCCTCAAGTAGCGTTGTGTGATTGACTGTGTCAAAAGCTTTTGACAAGTCCAACGCTACGAGGATCGTCCGTTCGCAGGGTGGCTTCTGGTTCAGGCCATGAACTATCTGGGCGTTTATGACGCTAAGTGCTGTGGTGGTGCTGTGCACTTTCCGGAAAGGAAAGGGAAAAGGGGAAAGGAGAGTTATTGGACGATAAGACTCGCCTTTGTTGGCGGGTTTCCCAAGCTTCAGTAGTGGGACTACTCTTCCGACTTTCCACACATCGGGTATTTGAAGAGTGGCCATCGACAAGTTGAGGACCTTGGTGAGGTAGCTTACTCCCGTCGAGCCGAGATGTTTTAGCATCAGCATGCTTATTCCGTCAGGGCCAGACTGGGAGTCATGCTGTCTGTGTGAGCTCCTTAGGACCGTGGAGGTCCTATCTTGGCCCCTCGACTGGAGTGGCGGCGCAGTGCGCGAACAAGGTGCAGATCTAGAGTAAATTTGCACTGCTAGTCTAGAGTAAATTTAAGAAACTATTTTGTACTCAATAAAAGAAAACACAATTTCTTTAAAATTAACTGGCGCCCGAGCAGGGACTAATGAAGTTGAGTTAGAAAATTTTGATATTCAACTTCTTTGGACAATAGATGAATTGCAGTCTTGTCAGGTAAGCGCGGTAGAGGGTGTCCACATTTGTGTAATTTGCAAGACTCCTAGTAAAAAGCAAACGCGACAAATCCGAGTTACCAGCAGGAACGACCACACCAAATTCCCAAATGTATGTTAAAATTTAAGTGAAAATAATTTGAAACATTGAGTTTCGATAATTTTTCCATAGCTTTATTTTTCGCTGTCAAGGGAACAACAAATGAAACACGCCTGTTCGCACCAAAAATCTGTTACATCCTAAAAAATGCTCAAATCTAGTGCGCGATAGAAAACAAAGAAATAACCTTGAGTTGTTCTTTCTCTCTCGAACGGCATATGCTCGGCTCCAAACAATAAAAGCCGGCCGATTACCTGGGGTGTCCCAAATAGGTTTCAGATGTCATTCACGATTCTACGTTGTTATTATTTTTTCTTTAAATTGTCACTGACTATTAATATTTGAAGAACAACATTTTTAATATTTTATACGAAAAACATGTTGGAATTTAAATTTTGGATGGAATGACCCATACCCCTTGTATATAAATGATCAGCGTGACGAGCTGAGTTTATCCATATCCGTCTTTGTGTCTGTCGTCTGTATAATCGTGCGCTAATCCCTCAGTTTTTGGGATATCGATCTTAAATTTTGATCACGTCTATTTTTTCCCAAGAAGGTGCTCATTTGTCTGATATTGTATGGAAGTTGTTATCACGAAATCTGGCTTAGATTATTTTCTAAGATAACGGTACAATTTCCGAGTAAATTTTTCGGATTGGGCCACTAAAGTATATAGCTACCATACAAACTGACCGATAATAATCAAATTCTTATAAGTTAACGCTTTCTTATTTTATATAATTTTAGCAGCAGTCGATTAATTAACTGATATAGCGCAACTGATTTAATGTAACATATATTTAGTTCATTTCGAAAATCCTTGGATAAGCGAGTTTCCATTTAAATCTTGACCCTAAGATAATGATTTGTGTAAGGATTTTGGATCAGTTGTTACTGACAGTACGGGAGTTTGTGAAAGTTGTAATTTTGCCAAGAGTTTTTTGGATTATTTTAGAAAGCAGCGTTTCAGTAATGTCTAAAATAGTAATATAGTTTATCACTAGCCACTTCCGCATTTCTTTATCACTGGGGTTCTTTATATTAAGTTGCTGCGACATAAGGTTTTTTCTGTAATACAAAGTGCACAGTATACATGACGCAACCAGTTCGAAAAAGCAAATCTGGCACCTTTATCAAAATTGAAAGTTCGCAAAAGGATCTCTGTTGTTTATTACATTTGTGGATTTTTTTTTTTAATTTTATAGGATAGGCCAAGAATAGATCACTTTTGAAATAATCCGTTTGACTTTAAGGTTATTCGCAATTAATAAATTCGTATTTTTACACGTTACATTCTCTTTTTGTGCCGTTCTAACAGAAATCGATTATTTTTCTATCTATCTCCTCAGTGTGAGTACTAAAAGGAATTGTTTTGCACATTTTTATGTTTGAAAATGCAAACTTTCAAAGCGAACTTTTTAATACTTTCATGCAAGGGCGTCAGCCAGCATAAAATTAGCAGTGCAAACTGTATTTACTGCATTACCGAAAAATCTTATTCTAATTCATCTGCTATGATGTTCTGGCAATTAATTTTAGAGCCTTGCCTATGACCTCTGATCTCAGAGTTCTTTAGAATGGAGACAACATACTTGATTTTACTGAAATTGTTCAAGAATTTGTAAAATGAAACGAAAAGAATAATCTTCATTGAAATTCAATAATGCGCTCCTCCGTCACTACAGACATTATTCCATTATGACCAATAGTTTGATTGCGAAGAACCGAGCGTTTTAACGGCATCTATAATATTTTACCTGTTTAACTCATTTTTACAGCTTATATCGTTTACCAGGTTTGCAGCAGATGTTTTCCGTCAATTCAAATATGTATAATGTAGAATGCATGGAAACAATTTCTATATATTTGTGATATTAATGAAGTAATCAATTAATACATTAATTTTTATTTATAGTTATGATGTAATGGAGCGTTCTCGTAATAGGATCCGAATTCGGGTGGCAAATATAATGATAGCGCTTACGGTATTGGGTTGCTGCATTATGGTTTATAGTGGTAAACAAGCTGCAAAAAGTGGCGACTCTGTAGTGAAACAAAATCTGGATTGGCATAAAAAATATAATGAAGTATCAAAAAAAGCTTAGATTTTCAGTAATTATGTATTGTTTTTGCTGCAAAAAGTGGCTTTTCTGCAGAAAAAGAAAATCTGGATTGTCGCAAGAAATATAACAAATAATCAATTGTAAATGTTTTCAAATATTTATCTACATAAATAAATTAGTTATTCTTAATATATTTTATATTGTTTTTTAATGTAGTGTTTGCTTTCCTGGCATCTTATTAAAACTTTATCTTTATTTGTGAATAAACGAATTCTGCTTACGACAGCTAATTGGTAAGTAAAATTTTAAAACAAAAAAGAAAAAACTAATTAATTGAATTCATACATATTGATCAACTTAAACAGTTAAAGGTAAGGTCTGGGCTGATTGCTATATCTTTTCGCACAACTCGAAGTATTTTCGAGAGCAACAACCAATTTTATGAAGATAACTTACACAAATATTTGGCATAAGGTCAGCTAAAATACTCTATATAAAGTGTACAGAAGCATGGGTAATTCATGGAACGTTTTCACACATATTCAGAATAATACCTACATACATATATCTAGTATCATACGTCTAATTAGTTTTGCTAAGATATCTTACATAGTTACCGAAATTTTCGGTAAAAAGTTAACCAAGTTTGCTTAAAATTGGTCAAGTAGTTTCTGAGATAAAGGATTTCATCAGAGAGTGACAGATTCCTATGAAGTCCTTATTGATCACATTGGCTGTGCAATTTATGGTAAATGTATAGTTTAGGTTCCCCAACGAGGAGGCCTTGAAAATTATATTTTTTTTAATCGTCTTAATTTGGCGGGAAGATGACAAATAAGTGAGCGGAAAGTCTATTTAAATTTAATTTTTCCAAAACTTTACAAAAAATATACACACTTTGTACATATCCTTTTGCGTCAAACTCGGCGGAGCTTTAAATAAATAATCCTCGTCGGTTCAACACCGGGGTATCCATAGTTCTTTTGCCTGCTGAAAAGAGTTCGATGCAAAAGAACTGTGGAAACTGGTGTTGGACCGACTAGGATTTTTTTTTGAAGCGCGGCGAAGGCTGCCAGTACAGAAAGGAACTCGACGCGAATGAATTGTGAAAACCCCGGTGTTGGACCGACCGAGGTTTTTTTTCTTGATTTTTTGAATTTCGATCTTGAGGTCGGCTTCGTTGGGGGACCTAAACGATACATTTATCACAATAAATTCGGTAAAATACTGAAGAAATGTAACAGTCACTATTTCTTTTGCACCGCGATCTGATGGTATGGACGTATAGAGGAGAACCTCGAACTGTTTCCGCAACGGGCGGTCTGCGGTCGATCTCCAAAAGATTTACCCTGGTCGGTCCAACCCCGGGGTGTCTATAGTAGAACTGCAAACTATCAATAGTTTGCCCCCTTTAAATCTACATTTAAATTAAGAGACTATGGCTTTGTACATTTCATTTTTATGAAGTAATCTTTATATTTATTTTAAAAAAATAGCAGAAAACACGAAATAGTTATTAAAGTTACATAAAAAATGTATTCATGTTATTATATAAATTTTTCTGAGAGCTGACGAGGTAGAAAAATATAATTTTAAGTTTTATGTGAAATAAGATAAAAAATGTATACTTAAAAAACGTTTTCATAGACTTTATTCGTCAATAATCCACTTATTTTTGTTTAAAGATAAGAATTTATTGACGGTTTTAGACTTCAGCCTGGCTAAATATTTTCTTCGACGTGGTAGAAGTAGCTGGTACACAAAGGTATCGACTGGCACAGATGTTGAGAGACATTGAATCATTTTTGTTGCTTTGTAATAGAAAAATAAATAAATTTATAAGAGACATTTGGTGCCAAAACTATGCATTACATAAACATATTTTTATATTATATATCTAAAGATGTTTACGTTTTCAAAATACCTTTAAAAGTAATTACCTTCCAATAGTCCAAAGATGAAGCATTTGGCCGCTCGAGATATTAACGGACTGCAATTATTGCATCCACTCGGTTTGATTCAATCTTCTCTTAATTTTTTTTTCATTGAGGAAACATCAGCGATTGAGGAGGAACGAAAATTTTCTCTTTTGCGTCCAAAATACTTGCCTTTTTTGTGACGGTGCGGTTTTCGTAATGAAAAAGACGTATTTTTATGCGCTCTATCAAAAAACTAGCCAATACAAACTCGTCAGATGTTTTCACGAAAATAGTGGAATTATCAAAGAAATGCTGACAGTGTTGCTAGATGAAGTTTGCGCAGTAGCATCTTAAAAAGGAGCAAGGGGTTTGCATAAATCCGCTAAAATCAATACCTCGTCGGCAATGAGTGGTGATGGAGCCTTTGAGTTACAAAGTAGTCCTTTCGAAATTGAATCACTGGTTGCTTAAACACGTTTCACCATAAAATTGGCACTATGGCTTGGATGGTTCTAACATAATAAAAGTGTATAAAATAGTAGTATTAAATAATATTTTTATTATTTTAAAAATGTACATACGCCAAACCAAGGATGATTTTACACCTAATTAATCGAAACCTTCGTGCAACCAAGGTTAGAACGAGAGAATGATTTAACACCTATTGAAAGGATATGGAGATATTACAGACCATTCCAAACTGCGAGGCGAAAAGTTATGACACGTTGATGGGTGCATTAGAAAGACGGAATGATAGTGAGCACAGGAAGCAGATTTTCCAAATCGAGGTGCAAAATCGCCCCAAGAAAATCAACGAGTCTGTACAGAGTTTTCTACAAAGAGGTTAGCTCACCTAGCTTATGCACATAAGTCCGCGGAGTTCATCGAGGAAACGAATATTCGGATCTTCATTACTGGAATAGCATGTTCAAAATTGACCATTTCGGAAACCGTTTCCCATGATCTCACACAGAAAACTGCATCCCTACTTAGCAATCTTAAAGCCCATAAATTGGAAATAGAAAAATACAAATTACGTGAAAAAATTAACAACATGCAGAAAGCACTGGAAATTTGCAGAAGCGCTTAAGAAAAATGATGGTGTGGTTAAATGCTTCAACTTCGAAAAAATGGCCATATTGCACGGAAAGCTGAGATGATCAAGCAAATGTCAAATCAAACCGATCGTTAAACTAAAGCGAGCCAGCCGAAAAGGGCACGGGCTGCCCCCCGCAAGCAAATTCCATGTAATCTTCATTTTACAAATAAGTAGGAATACGAGTAACCTTGCCGTAATTGGATATGTAGACGGTAAAAAGCGCATACTGACTGGATACGGGGGCGTCACATTCAATAATTCGATCTAATCTAGTTATTAAGCAAATAAGACCGTTTGCTGGGCCAAAGTTGCGTGCTGCAACTGAAGAAGGTACTCAAGTTCTCGGAAAAGTAGTGTGTAAGGTCGTAATTGGAAAGACAGCCATGTTACACAATTTTATAGTCTCAGATATTGTCGACGAAGTCATAATTGGAGTAGACTTTCTGGCGAATCAAGTAATCAAAATGACATGAAGAATCAGATTATGATCTATACAAATATGGAAGTGCCACTTATATTCGGTTCGGATAACAAGTAATACGTTAGACGAGTTAAAATAACAGAGAGCTCGCAGATTCCATCAAAATCAGAAGCAGTTATTTGGGCAGAAATATATGGAGATTATAGGACAAGCAAATTACGGGTTGTAGATGCAACAGAAGAATCTGCTGCAAACTTACTTATAGGCAAAATCGTGACTTTGACAAGACCAGATAAACGTATTCCAGTAAGAGTACTTAATGAGTGCAAGTCTAAAATCAAACTATCCAAAGGAGCTATATTAGGGCAGTGGCAAAAGATTGAGGTCGAAATATGTCTTGAGGAAGATTCCATTGACGAAAACAAGGTATTGTCCAAATTGATGCATTGACCCAGAAATTAGGGGCAAACCATTAAAATAAGGCTAAACTACTCCCTCTCAGAGACTTATCCATATTTGTAAAGACGATTCCAAACCAGGAAGAGTCAAAGTTGTGAAACATTTATTAACACAGGTGATGCAAGACCATTCCGCCAGGCTCCTTGAAGCGTTCCATTAGCAAAACGTGAAGACGGACCGGTTTGCTGTACATGAACCAACAGGGCAAACAACAGCAAGAGTAATTTTTGGTAATGATCTTCGTTTACAGATTGATTTTAAGTTGATAGTTAACGCTATCGAAGTAAGGAATGCTAAAGAAGTAAATAGCATCCTAGAAGACGATATGAGGGATATATGTGCATTGCGCTGTCTCCCAAATTACAGTGTAGTTTGGAAAGACCATACCAGGTAATTAAACGTCTCAACGATGTAGTGTATCGTGGTATATAAAATGAAGGAAGTTCATCTGGACCAGTTTGCAGCGTATGGTACGGCCATGTGTCTAATCGGGACAATCAGACTTAGGTGGAGAGAAATTCGTAGTTAACAGAATGTTCGAATAGCGAAGTTTTTGTAACAATCTACTAATAGCTCCTAGCCGGATTGTACAGCAGAGACAGTTCTAATTAGAGTACTGCTTAGTAAAGAGTTATAAGTAATAAGTTTTAAACTCGAATAACAATCTAGTGAAAGAACTCAAGAATGAGTTACAAGGCAGACGATTTATCGAGAAATCTGTCAAAATACTAAGACACTCATGAAAAGTAGCATGGTTTTTGCGCTTTTTTTAGCACAGCTGACACTGATTTTTTATTATATATTAAAAATTAAAAACTCATATTAAAGGCAGAAGCTGATACTTAACAAAGCACAACTCGATATTTTGAAATTCGACAGTCTAAACTATTGCATACTCAAAAGCTGAAAAATACAATTTTTGACAAATAAATTAATAAATATATAGTTTACCTTTTATTAGTTAGTACAAATATCCTTGTTTTGTTTTAAGAATTGAAATTTTTGTTGTTTACGAAAACGTTATAAAGAGACGTTTTCTGTCATGCCGAAAATACTGGCAACTACGTAGTTCGCGTTGCTGATTTTATGCTGGCTAAGGCCCCTGCATACAACGGTTAAAAACTGCGCATTTCAAAATTTGAAATTTGAAACATAAAAATTAATGAAATATGAGAAACAATCCCTACTAGTCCACACCCTGGCGAGTTAGATAGCAAAAGTTATCGATTTCTATTAGAAATGTACAAAAAGAGAACTTATCGTGTAAAAATTAAAAGTTTAATAATTGTGAATAGCTTAAAAGTCAAACGGATATCCAATAAAATTTAAAGATAAATCCACATTCGTAATAAAACAATAATATTAAAATTATATTTAAAACAAATAAGGAAGTACTAAGTTCGGATGTAACCGAACATTTTATACTCTCGCATAGTCAAATGGCATTCTCGTTTGAGATTTCTTTATATATTTTAATAATTAGAAGTAGGAACTGTTGCATCAGTTATTTACATTCAGTGAAATTAATTAGAACAATTTGTAAATCGTTCTTGTGTTTTTTTGCATACGCTTATAATCGATTTTATATAGAATGAATTGCAACTGTATTGATGCATGAAAAGAAATCGTTTTTTGACAATGAATAACATATTTTATTTATTTTATCGAAATTATCATACATGTTCAGCTTAAATATAATAAATATTAACAACTTTAAAAATTATATTATTATAATAATTTGTATATAATACTTACAATATTAAACAAATATATCTAAATTAAATTCCTTTTCTCCTTATAATATTAATTTCTATCATATCTTTATACAATAATGTCTCATATAATAACAAATTATACATATAATTTAAATTTTCTTAATTAGATTATTTACATATTTTTCTTAAAATTATCTTAAAAACTATTGCAATTAGTCTGAAAACTTTAGTTCGGCAGGTGTAGTTAAATATTCTACACCAAGCAGGGAACTAAAGTTTTTTTTCTTGGAGCAGATTTCCTATTGTAGTCCCTGTAGACATTAAACCAATGTTAAAATCTCCAACAATTAGCACATTTTGATTGCATAACTCAGTAGTACGGACTTCCTGAAGTTCCACAATTAAACGTCTGACGGGGTATGCTGAATTTCTGTATAGAACCAGAATATTAATATTGAAACATTTAAACAAATCCGCTTCTAAAACTTTGTCCTAAATAAACTTTCTTTACAGCATTTGGTTCTATAGAGCGAGCAATACTTTGCGTATATTATAATTCCCCGTTTATTTCTGTTGCTAGTTTCCGTGCTATCTATCCTCAGCTCGTTAATTGTAGTAAATCCTTGTATATCAAAATTTTCGGAAGGATAACTCCAAGTTTCTACAAAACATAAAATATTTGAAGATAGCATCAAACAGTCTCTTTTTATGTCATTAATTTGAGCGTGAAGACTGAACATTATGGAATAAAACTTAAAGTCCTGATGTTCGGGAAATCATAAAATTGAAACTTGTTGTCAGAGCTTTATTTGTGTTCAATTCCCTCAGTTCCCTAAATACATAATCCGATTCAGAAAATTTGTTAGGAGGAATAAAATTTCCTATGATGAATAGACCTTCTGCGGTAGTAGTTCGACTACAAGAGCATGAATTACAACTTTATTATACTTATGTGGCACCGGAACAACAAAAAACTTATTTCTTTCAATTGAAATTTGTTCATTTCTTTTATAATGAACTTCTTTAGAACTTTTTCAATTGGTGTCCAAGAACTTTCTAGAGGATAAGGCTTTTTTGATCGTGCTATCAAACCAACAGAAGTTCCAAAAATTTAATCCACAGAGTTGTTGGAAAAAAACAATAGAAATCAATTTGAATAAGTTGTGCAGCTGCCCCATTAACCATGATGGCTTGGTGTATACGTGTTTATATTCACTATAATCATATATTTTGGGAAGGTTTTTAGTGTCAATTCATAGGGCAGTCCGTGCGTTTCAGAAGTTTTTAAAAGTGTAATTCTTTCCAAAATATTCACATTTTCACTTAAACCAATTTCTTTAACTGAGTATTGTGTAGTTGAAAGGATAGCTTCCGTTGGGATTCGACTTAGCTTAAGGGCATTGAAATTATTTGTCTCTTTATTGGACCAAAAAAATGTATGGTATCATCAGGAACTTCCTCGAAATTAACTACTCGAGTTTCAGTGAGTGAATTGTCCTCATTTGTCATAGTACCAGGTGGCATATGGTTTAATGCAATTGCAAAGGCCCGATTCTCCCGTTGTGTCATTATTTCTGTTAATTCAAAGGGGAACCAGCTAAAGTGCTATATAAATCATAGGGATAAAGAGATAATATCCACCTATCTTCAACAGGTGAGAAATGCTTCAAATCACCAAACACTATGTTCAATACACCACCGAAAGGGCTGTCTGTTTTGAAAATTTGTTTTAATCTCGCATGAACAGAGCTAAACATACGAGCGCCTACGATCGATATTTCATCAATGATGATTAATTTTAAATCGATAAGTCTGGAATACAATGAATTAGCTGTGTCATTGCTAAGTGGAATCAGCTCTCTATTTAACTGATTAACAGGTAAAGAGAATATTGAATGAACGGTCATTCCACCTATTCCGAATGCTGCTTTACCCGTAGGGGCGCAAAGAAGAACTTTTAAGGAACTTGGATTGGATCCAGGTGTAGAATCATAACGATGGTTAAGAGCTTGATATATTGCAGATATCAAACGACTATTTCCTACACCTGCACTGCGCGCAACCAACTAATAAAATAAGCGATAGATTCTTTGCTTAGTATTTAGACTTTGAACTAAAGAAAAAAATTCCTCAGCTGGAATTAAAGAGGGTAGTTCGATAAATCTAATATTGCAATTATATTCAGTGCCATTATTATCGTTAAATCTTCACCATGCAAGTTCATCAAATTTATATTTGGGTTTATTTCTGGAAGTGCCAACACTCTGAACTCGTTTTCCACGATAGGTAGTTCATTTTGAGCACCTTCCTCTAACTCTATTTCATTATAAAGACTTTCTAGAACATTTTCAAGTTTTCTTTGCTCAAAGACATCATATTTTCTTTGATTTTCCTCAATTAGAATACGATGTGTTATGCAAGTCTGCTCATTATTGTTTTCAATGAGATCTTGCTGTTCATTTCGCCAAGGATAGTAAAGCATTACCATTTCGCGGAAATACTCAACTCTGGCCAAATCTGGGTTAAACCTTCTATACCGAATAATACAAGGTTTGTTACGTTTTTTCACAAAACCGCTACCGTCTTTAAGAGGCATGACAACCTCGATTTCTGATATATTATCGTCTTCCCTCTCTGTCCTCTTGTGCTCTTCTACTATTTTTTAAATATTATAGATGCAAAATCTGCTAAACAAAGAGTTTCTAACTGATCGGATCTTTGAACATAACAGTCTAAAATACCGGCTACGAATATTTCAGTCGAACCTGAAGGAAAGTTATGAAGTTTCGCTCTAGGTTTTACCATTCCAACACGTTCACCAGGTCGTGAGGTATTTATAAAAATGTCTGCATTACTTGCTTTCGAAAGGTGGAGCCCAATGCATCAATACACTGCTTCTTGTGCAGATATTTCTGTGCCTGATATAAATTTGTGACCTATATGTTTAAGTTTTTGCTTAACAGTATAATTTCCAGCATTTACTCTTGATATAGCTTCATTTTAGAGCCTAGAAATTTCCATTTTACTTGCTAATAAGATTAAATATATAATATATGAACAGCAAGCATATGCATCCAGTATAAGTTGGATATCCATATGTGCTCAATGAAGTTATAGTCATCAAAAGACATATTTATTCCACTACCATTTTCAAAATCTCTTAAATTAGAAATGTCTTCTGTAGTCATATTTGAATTTAAAACATTTTGAGTTGTGAACAAGTTTTCCTTGTGTCTTTCTAAATTTTGACTGGTTTCTGTAAGAGGTAGCAATACTTGCGTTCACGGCATTGGTGGATATGGAATACCAAAATGACAAAACTTTTGTCCTCTTATTTCCCTACTTATCTTTTAAAAGCTTAAGAAATTGCGATAGTCAAAATATCTAGCACAAGTAACCGCGTCTGACCGAATTAAGCGATATCTATCTTGGATTGTTAAACTGTTGGCTTCCTCTTCCGAAATATCTTTAGAATCAACAGTTTTGAAATGATTTTTTTTTTTTTAACAAAGTTTTCGTTTAAAATATTTTGAGCTGTAACTCGGTTGCGGTCTGAAAACTTTCTAAGACAAATGGATGTACTATTCTTATCTATCTATCTTGAACTATGTCAATTGGTATTTGTCCATAACCTGGCGCTATGACTATATATAGTTATAGTAAAAGTTTTCTACAGGAATATTGTCCAAAATAGTTTCTTGGCCGCCTAGACCCGTGGGAATATTATTGAATGAGGGATTATCGTGAGAAGTTTGTGCCGCACGAATAGATTGAACCAATCGGAAATCCTCTGCAGATGCAAAAAATCATCTTGGTTATTAAATTCTGAAATCCAGTTCTCATTAATATCTATATTGTGCGCACGATACCGAGGGGTTTTCACTAAGAATTGCAAAGCTTCCATAATCTTTACATCATGATTGTATTTCAAACGCCTTCTTAAGTGAATTTGTATCACATGAGCCTCATCAAGGGACCTTGGTAGAGATGTCACAAAAGGCACGGATTGTCATAAAAGGCAATCTAGGCATTATGAGACGTTCTTCAATTAAACCTTTCAAACAATTCGGTATTTCAGGAAAGTCTAGACCGTTGGCCAAACATTTGTGGAACGTTCTTTTTAACAATTATATTTTTGCAAAAAGGCACAAATACATATTTCAGTAGGGCCCTTATTAATATTTTGGAAATAAATGTTTTTGAAATCTGTTAAATTGACACTATAATCAGTTTCTACAACATTATTTTCTCTCGTTAATCGGATTCGTTGAGACTGCCTTTCGTTTTCAGTTTGCCTATTAACCGGGTTATCTCTACGAAAAATGTCTTCCCTCATATCCCTCCTACTAAGTTGTCGACGTTGTGTTTCTCTATCAAGCTCTTCTCTGCTTATGTCAGGATTTCTTCTTGCATATTCTTTTTGCATTTGCTCACGAATGTGCTCTAGACGCTCTACTTCTTGCGCGAAGTTCTCTATGATCCCTAGTGTTCCTACTTTGCTCATCATAACGTACCTCGGGGTCTTCGCGCCGAGATCTATGACCTCGAGTATTTCTTATTTGCTCTTCAGAGCGAATTTGTGGATCTTGCCGCCTTGTTCTAGGTTGAACAGTATTTACAACGTCTTGCCCTAGTTGAAAAGTATTTAACTTTTGTTCAAAAAACTGTACCTCGAGATTTTCCCGCCTGGTTCTATGTTGATTTGTATTGATAATTTGTACGGACAGACGTACATCAGAATCTAACCTACGATTAGCATGACTGACAGAATTTTGTGACTGCTCACTATCTCTATATAAAGAGTTTGCACGAAGAACTTGCAACATGTTGCTACAAAGTATAATAGTTTTGTTATGGTATATT